TTGCGCTTTTTACTAATTTACTAGAAGCAGTTTGAACATAAATTTAATAATAAATAGTAAGAATTTATGAAAATTGTGGGAAGAGTTAATTTACTTTGGATTTTGTGATGGGCATGATTCCTTTTGGTCGAGGTTCCTTATAAAAAAAAAATGGTTCAAAAAGTTATAAATGTATATACGTATAACAGAATCTCCTTAAGTTTTTCTTGTCCAAATGAATCAATTTGTTTTCCCTTTTGTATAAAGATAAGAGTCTAAAAGAAGGTTTGAAGCTTTGTTGAGTACCACCGTAATATATAAATAACTGGCATACGAAGTATTTGTACAGCTATGTACTCAAGATAAAATAATATTCTGAAGGGGCGAGGTAAAGATTAACAAGTCTTCAATAAATTAGACTCTTCCTACTGAAAGCATCTCGATTGTGATAGGTAACTTCCTTAAGGCTAAATATATCCCAAAATATTATGAGTCACGTCCATAAGATAGAACATACTAAATTAATCGAATGTATTCGACCATACAGTTAGAATTTTTTCGTTTCCTAAACGGATTTGTAATCCATAACATATTCACGCTAATTGGTTTACAAAACTTTTAAACAAAAATTGTTAATTTCGATTAACTGTGAGGAATAATTACAATTAATTAAGGTTTTTAGTTGAGATAAAAAAGTCAATTGCACGAGCGGGATTCGAACCCACGATCTTCGGCTAAGTACGCCGCTGCTCTACCACTTGAGCTATCATGACCTCGATCCACTCGGACACCAACTTCCCATCTCAACCGCACCTTTTTGAATTTTCCCTCCTTTTTGCCATTTTTCAAATGTCGTGTAATCGAATTGGATTCTCGGCGACAAATGAAATGGCCACGGAGAGCTTTATTGAAGTATACTTCATTTTTAATCATTAGATTCACTAATTTCGTGGTCCGCTTGACCAATTAATATATTACAATTAATTAAGGTTTTTAGTTGAGATAAAAAAGTTAATGGCACGAGCGGGATTCGAACCCACGATCTTCGGCT